TTCTTACCAAGATAGATACCATATCCCCTGGTGGATCGTTGGTCATCCGGACACCCTGCCCAGTCCGCATCAGAATAGGCAGTTAGCAGAGGAGAGTTACCATCACCATAAGCATGAATGGTAGTGTCGTGTGAAGGTGTGAGACATAAACCAAAATTGCTAGTGCCTTTAAGCTATCGTAGAATCCGTTTAACCACTGACCAGTGATTAACAGTTGGAGAATGCATGAATTGACAAACTTTGTTGACTGCATAAGTAATGTCCAGGCGGGATAAAGTAACATATTGTAGTGCCCCAACTGTTTGACGATATCGAACCAGGTTTTCAAAAAGAGCACTGTCACCAAGAGTGAGAGAGGCGCCAGTAGGAAGAGGAGTGCTAGCAGGTTTGACATTAGTAAGACGTGCATGTTGCAAGATGTCTAATATATATTGTTGCTGGGACAAGAAAAGATCAGTGCCACAATAGTTAACCAAAACACCAAGGAAATATGAGAGAGATCCCATGTCTTGAAGGGAAAAAGTCCAACTAAGACTCTGAACAATGTGATCAATAGCCCCTGGATTATTACCCGTAATAATAATATCATCAACATAAACCAACATATAAACCTGTGTACCCTTAGTCGAGAGTATGAAGAGAGATGGATCGGTGTGAGATCCTTTAAAGCCAAGGGTATGTAGAGCACGAGACAGTCGATGGAACCATTCATGCAGGACTTGTTTCAGCCCATATAACGACTTATGCAGTCAACAAACATGATTGGGCTTGTGGGGATCAACAAAACCTAGGGGTTGGTGCAAGTAAACTGTCTCGTGGAGATCACCATGAAGAAAGGCGTTTTTAACATCCAGTTGTCTGAGAGGCCATTTGTTTGAAACCGCAAGAGAAAGGACAACTCGAACGGTGGTAAATTTGACAACCGGGCTAAACGTGTCATGATAGTCAATCCCAGGCTGTTGATGAAAACCTTTAGCAACAAGGAGAGCTTTGTAGCGGATGACAGAGCCAGTCTGGTCACGTTTAATTTTATAAACCCACTTGCAATCAACAATGTTGGAATTAGGCTTAGGAGGAACAAGCGTCCAAGTCCTATTGCGAATAAGAGTGGCATACTCATCAGCCATTGCTTGTTGCCACTGAGGGTGTTTAACTGCAGTAGAGAAGGTTGTGGGCTCCTGTTCGATAATAGTGGATGCATGGAAGGCCGAAGGTGTGAAGTGTTGCACCTGTTTTGGGTTTGGACGCAAATTTGCAGGGCGAGACCGAACAGCAGATGGGGTTGTAGTAGAAACTGGTTGGGCTGCAGGAGGGTCTGTTTGGGTCGTGGGGGAGGCGGATGTGGCCTCATTTGGGATAGCGGATGCACCGGTGTGAACATGAACGCGTTGTCGACGACGTTCATAGGTGCGAAAAGATTCGACCTGGGGTAAGGGTGGGGCTGGAGGTTCGGGGTCAGGTATAGTAGGGAATGGATAAGTTGACACATAAGGATCACATGGAGGTGTCTCAGGCGGTACAGGTTTAGGTGCTAAAAAGGGGAATGAAGTTTCATGAAACCGTACATGTTGAGATATGTATAACTTGTCGGTAGTAGGATTAGGGATGTCAAAAAATCCCGTGGGACCCCGTTCCCATGGGGGCCCCGTCCCGTTTGGGGGATTTTTTTAAGAAAAATCGGGGGCGGGGACGGGGGCGGGGGCAAGGTTAACCCCCATTTTAATTTCGGGGGCGGGGGCGGGGGTAGGCAATCCCGTTCCGAAATCCCCATGGGGACCCCGTTAATAAATTACACATATATTTACATATATTAATTATATAAATATAATAAACAATAACATGATTTTGAGCTTCCAAAAATCATCAAAAAAACATGTTTTTAAGTTGTTAGTATAATTTTTTAAAATGTCATAACTTTTTTTATTTTTAACATATAAAATTCTGCTCTAAGTAATTATTTGTTACCTAAAAAATAGTTTCTTTTATCATAAATAACAATTTCTTTTAGCCCAAAATCAATCGGGGGCGGTGGAACGGGGGCGGGGGTAATAAAGGGGATTCGGGGGCGGGGGTGGGAGTAGGAAGGTTGAACATTCCGGGGCGGGGGCGGGAGCGGGGTAATGGGAAAATTTCGGGGGCGGGGGCGGGAGATGCACTCCCTGCCCCGTTTGCTCCCATTGACATCCCTACGTAGGATCAAGGCACCTACACCCATGATGAGAAGAGTTGTAACCGAGAAAAATACAAGCAATGGACCGAAAATCCATTTTGTGGTGATTGTAGGGTCGTAGATGAGGGAAGCATTGGCTCCCAAAAAACTTTGAGAAAAGGAGAAATCTGGGTTACGCTTAAAGATGGTCTCAAATGGTGAGACATGGGAAGTGACACGAGAGGGCATTCTGTTTATGAGATAGACTGTCGTGTCAAAGGCAAAGTGCCAATAAGTATTTGGAACCCCTGATTGAGCAAGTAAGGTTAAGTCGGTTTCGACTACATGGTGATGTCGCCTCTCAACTAAGCCGTTTTGTTCACTTGTATGAGGACAAGAGAGGCTATGAACAATGCCAAGGGACTTAAAGAAAGTGTGAAGCTGATGAAACTCACCACCATAGTCAGTTTGAACGACCTTGATTTTTGTAGAGAATTGTGGTTCAGTCACGACAAGGAATTGTTTAAAGACATCAAAAACATCAGACTTGCGTTTAAGAGGAAATATCCACATAAAACGAGAAAAATCATCGACACAAAGTAAGAAATAGTTATGACCATCAGATGAGGTAATCGGGGCCGACCCAGACATCGCAAACAATAAGATCTAAAACTCGTTTACTATTAAAACTTGAAGTAGATAAATGAAGTTTAGAAGATTTCCCAATATGACACGAATTACAAAAAGAATATGAAGATTTACTAGATACAGGAAGACAATATTTAGAGCACATAAAATTCAAAAGTTATGAATGAGGGTGTCCCAACCGTTGATGCCAAATATCAGAAGAAGCTCTAAACGTAGTGTATGCAACTTTAGGAAGATGCTGGAAGGACGGAAGATGAATGGAGTAGAGCCCATTGTCACTTGGACCCGTGAGGAGGGTAATTTTGGTAATACTGTCCTTCACAGCAAAAAAAGACGAGTGAAATTCAAAGAAAACATTATTGTCAACACAAAACTTTTGAACGGAAAGAAGATTCTTTTTAATTTCCGGGACATGAAGAATATTGGATAATGAAAACATTTTTGAGGATGAATAAAAATGAGTAGAACCAATATGACGAATAGGTAAACCCATACCATTTCCAACATGAAGAGCATCCTCGCCAAAATACGGTGTGTGACTTTCTAGTGATGAGAGATCGTGAGAAACATGGTTGCTGGAGCCAGTATCGGGGAGCCATGTTTGTGATCGATTTTCTGCAAAGTTGGCAGTGGGTTGTGAGTGAGTACGCATGGTCGTCTATTGTTGGATCCGCGACCCCAAGAAGTGGGAGGGCGAGTGGTGTAGAACGCTTGAGGGCTGGAGGAAGGGGCTGACTTTGGTTGGAAACCAAGCTGGTTAAGAAGCTGTTGAAGGGCTTGCAATTAATCAGCTGGAAGGGTAGTGGGTGTGGAGGTGGTTCGGTTGGTGGTGGTGGCAGCAAACGCCTGGGGCCACGATCGGGGTGACGATGGGGGTGTTTTTCCTAATCATGAAGTCATGATCAGCAAGGAGGTCGTTAAGGTCTTGGAAAGAAGTGGGGATTTGTCGAGCAAGAAGGTTGGACTTTAGTCCATTGTATTCTTCATGGAGACCCGAAATCACAAGCATAACAAGATCTTTTTCTTTAATTGGTTCACCAATGTTGGCAAGTGCATCAAAAATACTCTTAAGCACGTAAGAGATAAGCAGAGACTGTTTCATCAAGCTTCATCTCGAGTTTAAGAAGCTGTGTTTTGAGAGTATACTCTCGAAAGGATGATTGAGGAGCATAGGCTCGTTGTAAGGAAAGCCATAGATCCCTGGATGTTGTACCATGTGCATGGGGATAGGAAGCTTCAGATATAGTAGAGAGAAGAAGCATACGTACGTGTGCATCATTAGCTATCTAAGCAGCATAAGACGGGTTTGGCTGGGTTTCAGCAGTGGTGGCTTTTTCTGTTGCTGGTAAAGTTGAAGTTGGACCTGGAATAGAAGCATCGATATATCCAAAGAGATTGTTGGTAACGAGAAACGGATGGATCATTGTCTTCCAAAAACCATAGTTGGTAGGAGATAAATTAAACAGAAACTTATGGGAGTTATGTGAGGTTTTCTCGGTTGTGGAGAAAGTTGTGATAGTCGCCATGATCAATAAACTGTGAAGACAGACCTGTGTGGCTGTGTGTTTTTTTTTTTTGGAACTGTCAGCTAGGGTTGTAACCCTAGGGAGCCAAGAATGCTTGTGCTCTGATACCAAAACAGATTTGGTAATTGTATTTTTTCTCTTATTATCATACGTAACATATACAAGGGATATATATAATATATATAGTTACAATCTAGTCCCTGTACTATTATTATCTTGTCTAATATGTCTCAACATGTTCCACCCTAAAATTGTGAAATTGTGTGCCAGTTGACTTGGTCAATAACCATCTTTGTTCTTGATCCACTCATGACAAACACCTTCTCACAGGACCTTGTTGTGTTCCTTACAATTCAATGAATTTTGTGTACTTCAATATCATAAGAAAGATGAACCATTTTGATATATGGTTTATAGATTTACATCGGAGAGTGGTTCAATTGTGATTGTGGTGATGGTTATCGGTGAGGTTGATGTTAATGGTGTGGTTGTTGGTATTTTCCACATCACCCTTATGTGACACCAAATAGGCATTAAAGTTGAGAGTCCAACAAAAATTAATTAGTAGTCATCTTGTTCCTAAAATGAAGGTAAACACAAGTTATCACTTCAACAACCATATTTATTAACACATAACTTTACAAGCTTGACAAGTACTAGTCACTAAAGATTTTGAATTAAGCTTCCAGATGCTGCTCATTTTCATTGGGTTCTGTCTTCTCTCTAATAGAATAACTATGAAGGTTTCTAGTAAAACTAGTGGTGGTATCCAAGAAATAAAGCACAAACGACATGATGCAGCAACACACAAACATGGGTATAGGACCAAAGATCCACAAGAAGAGAGGGAAGGAGAAGTAAAATGCTCTCAATCCAATAGACCAAAACAGGCTTCCACGATTCAAGTTTCTAGCAACATAGTTTATAGGTTCTGTTCTGTTTATGAAGGTGGGAACAGTAGCCAAGAAGCTAACATGAGCATAGTATCTGATAGACTGGACATTGCAAAGAAAAGCCACGAGAAAGCATAGCAGGATGGAAAAATACTTGACTGAAGATAAAAGGGATGTTTTATTGCCGTAGATTAACTGATTTGAGTTTGTGTTTGAAGTGCTGCTCACAAATACGCTGATTATGGAACTGAGAGTGATAGCAGTTGTGGCCAGAAGAGTCGATGCCATTATGTTGTTGCGAATTGTTTGGACTGCTAATACACCATTCTTCAGTGGATCCTGTCAATAAACAAGAGGCATGGAATTGTGTTAATCATCAATTTCGTTATCAAGTGCTACAGTTCGAACACACTGCTCTTGAAAGAGAGGATAAACTGCAAACATCGATAAACTACAGTTCGACATTCAAGCTCTATCTATCCTTTCTTTTTCTTTTTTTCCAAACAGAGGCGATACTTGGGTTTAGTTAGTGGGATACAATTTAGGGCACAAACTTCATACTAGACCCAAAAGGAAAGCTATCGCCGATCAGCAAGTAAGAGAGGGAATAGGAGACTAACAGCCATCATAGAGAAGACCCATTGATGTCGGCTCTCGGCGTTCAGGCCAATCACTGTTCGTCTGGGGTTTGTTAAAACGGTGTAAACGAGCCAAATATGGTAGACGATCATAATCCCTAAACCCAAAGGCACCAGAACATAATCCAAATCCTTCTCCTCCATCGCTACTCTCACTGTCGGTGACTCCGTGCTCAAAAAAATTGAAGGGTATCAACTGCCCAAGGAAAAAAAGTGAAGGGGAAAGCATCAAGTCATCAAATTTAGGAAAGCAAAAGAAAACCTGTTCAAGATTCCAGGACTTCGGAATTCTCAGGATGCCGAAGCATTTACTTCTCCACGCAAGACTCGCTTTTAAATATTGAATCAACTGCGCTTTTAGACCCACGTGTAAGATTTTCATTTTCTAACCTCTTTGCCTCAACGGGTTAACAGATACTTTTGAAATGCTTGTTTATGGGTTACATGCTTCTATCAAATTATGTTGTGAGGTTTGAAAACTAAAAGTAAATTACTGAAATCGTCCATATGGTTTAGTCAAAATTATATGTTTGGTCTTTAATTTTTTATTTTTTTTTCACTCTGTGGTTTGATTTGTTGCATTTTTCGTCCCTATGGTTTGGTAAAAGTTGCATGTTTGGTCCCTAACTTTATGTATGTAAGGGACGAAAAATGCAACAAAATCAAACAATATGGACGAAAAACACAACAAAATCAAACCACAGAAACGATCCGAATGCAAAAAAAAAAAAAATAATAATTAAGGACCAAACGTGCAATTTTGACCAAACCACAAGAAAGTATTTCAATAATTTACTCAAAACTAAAAAAGGATGATAAAAATAGCTTTATTTTTTAATTATAGCTTAAATTTAACCAAATTCTACAAATAACCAGCTAGCTATTTTGCAGGGTCTCTGCGAAATGTGAAATGTGATTATGCCTTGTGAAATGCTATACCATGCCGTTTTAGTCAATTTAGACTAGGAAAAACGTGTGCAGTGTGACCAATGAAACGTGCATTGTGAAATGGTCATGCAAAAAGGTTGGCTCGCCTCAAAATCTACTCATATTTAAACGAACAAAAAATGTGAGAGCTTCGTTACCCAATTAGTTATAAAACTTATGTATTATACAGGTTCATTAAAAAATAATTAAATATAAAGATCTAAAATTAAGCATTTTAAAAGTAATTTTTTAATTAAATACGATCGAAATAATGAATAAGTACTCCGATTTATACTAATAAAAGAGAACCTCACATATTTCAAAGAATTATCATGAATCATAAGTTTTCGGATTTCTTTGAATATAACATTAGATGTATTATTATTAAGTTTAACATCATTATCTAAAATTAATATTCTTAATCTATATCTATTTTTTAACTCTAGATAACACAACATATAACTATCTATAAGTGAAAAATGATAATCTAAAAAATAACCCAAAATTTGATAGCATTTGTCACTGACTATTATTTATTGTCATCGGAAAACTTACAAGCAGTATAAATTGGCTTCTGTGAATTGTGAAAGAAATTATTTTATGTGAAAGACATTCTTGAAATAAACATAGATTTTCCTATATTACTTTCGGATTAAATAGGAAGGTGTGATTGGTAAGAATTTTTAAAACGAAAATTTCCAATAAGATATGACAGAGATGAGGAATAATTATGTACTTTAAGTAACAAAGATACACAATGTATAGTCAAATATCATTAGCATTAAAACTTATTCATGACATACATTGTCATTTTGGGTTAAAAATAAAAGTAAGTTGGTATTTTGGGTAAAAATAAAACCTACATTGTTGTTTTAGACTTAATATAATAATACATTGTTGTTTTGAGTTTAAAAAAAATACTTTGTTGTGTTGTATTGAAACCAAACTATAACTAAAACGACCTTTGACTTAAAATTAATAAAATGTTGTTTTTGTTAGAAATAAGATATTGTTGTTTCCATTTAAAAATAGAAGTATGTATCTATCCAAAAAAGGATGTCTTTATTTTAGGTTGAACAAAAAAAAGCAACTTATTTATATTTCTTAAAATAAAATAACAATGTATTTTCTTTGCTAAATTAATATTCTTAAAACCTTGTACTCTACTTTTTTTTCATTTTTATATGAATTTTATTACTCAAATCAACATTTTAGTTTTAGTCTACTTAAATGGGAATGCACTTTGCCATTTTTCACAAAAGTATTGTACAATTATTCTTTTAATATGTTCAAATCATCTCGTAATTCAATTTCTTAAAACTTGTCTTCAAATTGTAATGTTTTTCAACTTGTATTTCATTAATAACTTGTATACTTAGAGCTTTGATTTGGATAAGATTAAGTACAATATAGAGTTTACAAAGCCAAATAACTAGGATATAGATACATCCTATACTCACTCTCTTGAGAGTGGCTAATCATTCCTCAAACCGGCCTAATACAAACCATACTTACTCATGAAACTTCCACTAACCCTGCAGCAATTCGTGTATGTTAATCATACATAACACTGGATTCGATAGACAGTCGAATAATTGATTCTACCCTAAGCCCACAACCAGACAAAAAATAGGAAATAAGGCTAAATCAAACATTCTTAGGCTATAAAGTCTTAGTTATGCACAACTATGATGCACGCACTAAGCAACCACAATAATAATGTTAGTTCCATATAGCATATCAAGAAATTCTCCTAGGCTATCAGGTATAAAAATCAGTCAATTCTATCATCCAATTCATGAAGATCCATAGCCTACCAACTAGCATGTCATTCTATTATATCATCAATACACAAACAAATGTGGGTATCTTGGGGAGTACTTTCCGTGGCCCCGACTAATTGTACACATCACATCCTCTTCGTTGATCATTTTTGAATTAATTTTGAAAACTACTTTGCAGATCCTTAGTTTAAATCTAGAATCAGACAAGTGTGATAGGTTTTATAGGTTATAATTAAAACATGTGGCGGGAAAAGTTAACCATTAAGTTCACATACAAGCTATTTGGATTTAAGTTTTCTCTTTTGAAAGCAATAATCAATTGAACATCAAGAACCCTAAAGAGGCCCTATAATAATCGAAATTACAAGGGATTTAGAGTTTACATACCTCTTGATTATTGTAGAAAATAATCAAAGTAGTTCCTTTCTTTTGATCTCTTGAAAGCTAGCACCAAAAATCTAATACCTCTAATGGTTTATAACCAAACCCTAACAGTAGAAGATTTAAGAGGAGAGAAGAGAGGGGATGAGATTTTTAGTTATCCTTCTGAGAATATGAGTGGCCGAAAATAATATGCAAAGGGTCCTATTTATAGCTACTAGGAAACTCCTACACAGTCCTAATTTAAAATAAAATAATATTATTTCAAATCTTGATTTTTTTCTAGTTTCCTTATTATCCACATTGAATAATCTAGAAACCCTAGGATTAAACCAAAATTCAGCCAACCCTAGGAATCTTCCTGAATCCTTTTCCCATTTAACAATTGAATACTTACAGCTTTAGTCATTGCACTTTTAATTAATCCAATTTATCCCAACATTAATTTCATTTAACTTCTGATTAATTATTAATTGAATAATAGTATTTATAATTAATATATTAATCTCATAATATATTAATAAATTATTTATTTTTATGCATTAATCATATAATAAACCAATAAATCTACCTCTCTCCCCAAAAGTTATTATATAAATTACTAGTTTTCAGGACAGCCCAATAAGGACTTTTATTTTAATTCAGGTATATACCAACTTAGTTATTGGCTTAGATACCTAATAAATAGTCCCCCACTTGGATAAGTTTGTAACTACAATTGTAAGTATAACGTCTAAATTAAACATCAAAGCATGCTTTCCAAAGCAACTGTCATACTCTGATCTGATCATACATCGGCCCTAAGATAAATGATCAAATATTCCTTTGTTCTTCAAGATATTATATGTACATGAGACATGGATTACAATTAATCTCTTGTCCAAAATTCGTTTTCCTAATTTCATAATTTCTGATGACCTCATAAGACCTCTAATTGAACACATTAATTCAGTCCTGGCTATTAATATCAACACCAAGTCACCGAGCAGCCCAAATATATCGCTTTTCACATTAGGGCAAAAGGAATGAATAAACTTCAATTTATATGCATGTGTTTTTTACTCACCAAATCATGCATGGCGCTACGTTTTATAACATCACGTTACTGATGCGTTTACGTAACACCAATGCACAATTGACTTGTAAATTACAACTAATATATCTCTTTTTAAGAATATAATATATTATCGTCTCAAAATTACTTGTGATATAATCCATGAAGTAATTCTCTGAGCGTGGGTTTATCCAATACTCAAAATCCCTATTTTCTAAGTACTCACGAACATTATAGCAAATCTTATTGCAATGTCTAACTCCTATAGACAATCTACAACTCAATTCATGACAGTCTTGATTCACTACTTACTTCCAAAAGTATGAACAAGTGTGGGGCTTCGAATACTCAAATCATCTAGGAAGTAAAACATGCAAAGCGAAACACGAGAATAAGTAATTGAAAAAGGCAGTAACCATACTCATAAATAATCTATATTATATTTATTTTGTTACAAGTTTCACACTACCAACTAACTACTAAAACTAATATCATCTCTTAAGCCTATGCTCCTAGCATGCTACTTATGCTTAACCCTACTCAGAGCCTTTGTGAAAGGATCTGTAGGATTATCCTATGATTGAAACGACCCAAAAACACGACCCAAAATTTTTCGTTTTTCCATATAATCAAAACCATAATATAAGTATCATAACATAAAACATACGCGATGTATCCCCAAAACATAATAAAATATTGTGCGGAAAACTGTATCATACTACATCAAACCAAAACATCAAGAGACATCCCCAGGATAAAAGCTATGCTGTGGTGTGTGCGATGCTGTCACCCCGAGCTCTTCCCTTTGCTTGCGGAAGTACCTGAAACCAAAACTGAAACTGTAAGCACGAAGCTTAGTGAGCTCCCCCAAACTACCACATACCATACAATAACATATAAGCACATATTGGGCCTTGCCCACTGCATCGGGCCAAAGCCCGGAAACTGCATCGGACCGAAGTCCGGAACTGACTGGGACCTTGTCCCCTGCATCGGACCGAAGTCCGGAACTAACTGCATCGGACTTACTGCATCGGACCGAAGTCCGGAACTGTCTGACTGAACATGGCATAGCATAACACATCAACTAGCATAACACATATACGACATGCTACATCGGGCCGTGGCCCGGAACACATAGTACTTAACACATAAAACATAGCACACAATCCTGTTCGAACCACGAAGGCATCGAACATACCAACTACTGCATCGGACCTAAATCCGGAAACTACTGCTAACTGAACGGGCCGGCATTGTGGCCTTAGACCCGTTCCTACTGGAAGGAAACTCACCTCGTAAGCTGGCTGCTGAGTGTGTGGCTCGGAAAGCTAACGGCGGCTGCTCCTGAATCTCCTCGGCTACAAGTCCATAAACACACTCAATCAAATACTAAACACTGCGCTTGGGGTAAAATGACTCTTTTACCCTTGGTCAAAGTCAACTCTCTTTTGGGCTGACTCGCCGAGTTGGGCCACCCAACTCGCCGAGTCCTACTCTCACTTTTCACTTCTACTCACTGCTACTCGTCGAGTCTGGCATCGACTCGACGAGTACCCTCTTGATCCAAGAACTCAGACAATCTTCATCCGACTCGCCGAGTCGTATGAACAGACTCGACGAGTTGTTCTTGATCCCAAGAAGATTGCCTTGGACTCGCCGAGTTGTATGAACAAACTCGTCGAGTCCCTCCATCACTGAGTCACTCTCAACTCGCTGAGTCCACTTCCTGACTCACCTCGTCCACTCGACACTGATAAAACTGAAGGACTCGGGACTCGCGACCCGACTCGTCG